ACATGCAGAAAAAGTACTACTAAAGCACAATTGAATTTTCTGCTTGTCCTGCTTTCCATCAAAGGCTTATCACCGTATAAAATTTTTATTTCAGTAGTAAGGGCAGCTTTGGATTAATCACTAAAAATAAAATGAGTCCTGTTATAGGGCAGATGTGATCAATTTGTTAGAAAGAACTTTAGTGTAGAAATAAGAATTTTCTAACAGAAAAAGTTGTTGGCCTCTTAAAATGGCCAGAGAAGTTTACAGAATTTGCTTCACTGAAGAACCAAAAATCTGATTTTAAATAAGTAGCTATCTATATTGAATAGTTTAGTTGTGAGGCCTATTAGAGATGGTGTGCTGAGTTCTTTCAGAGCTGTAAAGGGACTCTGGTGCTCTTAATTTTGGTAAGCCTTTTTTATGTTCAGTATTCCTGTTTTGTTAAGGACAGAGGCAATGCATCTAGGGAGAGTCAATTTTTTTCTCAATTCACTGGTTGATCTTTTCCTCCTTCTAAGGAGGTCAGTAGGCCAATAGCATTATTCCTTTGTCGGTGGTCTGCTAGTCAGTGAGTATTTTGGAAAAGTGTCTTCTGACTTGGGCTCATTTGACTTTCCTTTTTGGCCCACACTTAAGAAATATGCACATTCCAGAAAATAATCTATAAATATATATGCAATTTCTTTCGCTGCTAAGAAAAAGTGTGATGATAACGCTTACTGAGCTTTGACTGAGCATTGAAATTTCTGCCAGCTTTACTGCACTTAGAGAGGAGAAACTGAGGCTTAGAGAGCCTGGGAAACATGTCAACAGCCAGACAGATAAGACAGGGTACTGATGGGATCCAGGCTCTCTCAGTCTGACTACAGAGTTGGGCACTGAATAACTCTGACTTTGTATTAGTGAGTTTGCAGCCTAACAACTCCCTCTAATTCACTTCTCTTCAGAAGCTCCTTTCTTTCCTTTTTAAAATTTTTTATTTTTTTAGTTTAACCGTTATTGTAGAAATAATAAAGTGTCTTTAGACACTGGGCCTCAAACTTGGCTGCACTTGTGAATCAGCTGAATGTTTAAAAAAAATTACTGGTGGCTGGGTCCCCCTTGTCTGTTGACCTGGAACTCACTATGTAGCCCAGGCTGGTCTTGAACTCACAGCAATCCTCCTGCCTCAGCCTCTCGAGTGCTGGGATTACAGGCATAACGCCACCACCCCCGACTACATTCAGATTTTTTAAACTCTTGCAGGTGAAGTATGGGGATGCAGCTTGGTGCTAAGGTGCTTGCCTAGTACGTGTGAAGTCTTGAATTCAATCCCCACGACCTCAGATCAGTCAGTCTTCCAGGTGATTCTACTGTGTGCATCAGAGTTTGACAACTGCTTAGAAACAAGACAGCCAGGAGTGGTGATGCATGCCTGTAATCCCAGCACTCGGGAGGGTAAGGCAGGAGGATCGCTGTGAGTTCAAGATCAGCCTGGGCTACGTTGTGAGTTCCAGGTCAGTCCCAACTACATAGTAAGACCCTGTCTCAACACCCCCCTAAAAAAGAAACAAGACAAAATTTCAAATTCTAACTTCTGTCAGCCAAATATTAAATAATGTCTTATTACAAACGTACTATGTATTAGCTTTAGAAAATGCTGGCAAATAAAAAATTACAGTTAAAATGATCTGTAATCCCTTCATAGAAGACAGCTCATATTTGACTGTGTATCTTAATTTTTTTTCCTTTTTGCATTGTGCACATTTAACAAGTTTTAACCACAATATTATTATTCAGTAGAATTGTATATTTAATACCAGATTGCCTTTTATCTGTCTTACAGTATTTGCATGTTTTACCAGACTTAGAAATTCTTGATTCTTCTACATACATAATGATGTCATTCGATCAATCCTTATAAGCTAGTAACTCTTAAAGTGGAGCAACATCTCCATTAATGGAGAATCTGTACATTATGCGAAGCACTGTAAACTGAAAGTCCTTTGTACCATGGCAGGCAGTTTTCCAGACAATTATGTAATTTTTTTTTTTTTTTTTTTTTTTACTTCTTACCTCCTAAGGCAAAGCCCATGTGATTTTTCCCTGGCTCTGGGATTCATTTCATGCTCAGTAAATGCCTGAATGGATGAACAGATGTGCGTGTTCCAGGAACTGAGGAGAGGTCATAAATTGAAAAAAATTAATTACTGAAGTAAATTTAGATATGTTTGAAAAAACTGGGAATATTGGGTTAGAAGGAAAAGAGAGTAAGAGTAGAGTTGAAATGAGGGCAGTGGTTAGAAGACACTGTAAGGTAGGTAAACCTTGGACCCTTTGAGAAAGGTAGCAAGTCTTCTGACTGGGAGCTACCCAGATTTGTTTCCCAACAGGCTCATACTTCCCTGAGATACGATACCCTCTCCCATTATAGGGAGGGGACTGGGTCATAGCCTTCCATTTCCCCTGTCCGACTCTAATGTTGTAATAAAGCAGCTGGCTCAAATATACTTTCAGAGTAAGAACCAACTAATTTGCAGAATTTGCTCTTCTCTAAATATTTTCCTATTAAAAGTTTGAGAAACTGCTGTCCTGTAATGGAGTTCAGTTAGAGGATAACCAGAGTCTATTGGTCAGCAACTAGGAGCTCCAATGGCCCAGTTGGTTATTGCATGGTTCTTACATTGGTCAGCAACTGTGACTTTCAGGTTCTTTCCTGTACAGGTGGGAGGGAGGAGATTTAGAGTGTGGCAGGCCCACGAGGGCTGGCCTAACAGAAAAGGGCTATCCTGGTAGATGGGCAGGTTTACTGGGTGAGCCAAGCTTGTCATGAGTCAACCCAGACAACTGTGGGCAGCTTGCACGGAGGTATTGTAACTTTACAATCCAAGTTTTAAGTATAATTAATCACAAAGCCCATATATCTGAGTAATTTTAGCATTTCTTTTTGCTTCAGAAAAGCTTTACTTTTTTGATTTTAGATACATTATGATCTTTACTTGTTACTGCGTATTTTAAAATAAAATTTTGTGAAAAATGAGGCATTGTAAATATATATGTGTAACTTCATTATGCATAAGTTATTTACATGACTGAGTTGTATAGTCTTGCTGGAATTCTTTTGAATCGAAGCATTTGTACAGTTCCAAAGACTCTAGAAAAATCAGAACCTATTTGCTATCCTGTGTTCTCCACTTTTTCCTGAATTCACACTGACAGTTAAACACTTTCAGCTTAAAAGTACTAGTAAAGGTAGTTAAAACTGTCAGTCACCATGCTCTACTTAGAATTTAACAAAAAAAATCAAAGAATGAAATTGTAAGCCTCATTTACTTGTCTGAAAATACTTTTCTCAAAGATAAAACATAATAAAAGAGAGGGAATCCTTATAGTTACACTATATGGGGTAGCAGAAAATAAACACTGGAGGCAATACTTATTGAGGTATCATCAGTGATTCAGGAGATTTCTGGAATGCTGTGCCTACCGTTGGGAGCCAGGAGTTTATTATGATTTAATGGTACCTCTCTACTATATTTGATGAGCTGTCCTAGAAAAACATTTTGAAGCAATAAAACATCCATTTGGCTCCTAAGTAATGAGGGAGGCATTGCTCTTCACATTAACTATTTATTCAGGAAGAGAAGTGACCAACTGCTAATAAGCTTTATCCAAAGAGGGTCATTTAAAACAAAAGAAAACGCAAAAGTTAGGTTCTCTTTGATTTCATACACATTAGCAACAACCAGAACCTGCGAGGTTGGTGTTCCTGTACCACGTGGCTTTTGGCTAACTGTACAAAAGTGCAAGTGTTTGTCTGTTGTAGTAAAAGCTTCCGGGCTTATGCAAGGACAGTGTGGTCTAAACCAGTGACATGAGAAGAAGCAGTGACTGGTGAGTAGCTAAGATGAGGCCGATTTCTCTCTTGTTTGAAAATTCAGATTTATTTTCTAAGATCAATGACAGTGATTTAAGTTCACTAATTCCCTTTTGAAAAGGGTTCCTTATTTTTTTATAGATGATTATTTCCTTTTCATTGCTTGTGAAATCTGCTCTACATTGCAATATAACACTTAGATTTACTTAACCTAGGGAAGTTTTATATTTGCTACATAAATAAATCTGTAATGTTATTTGGAAATAGTTGCTAGCTATGTTTGCAGTGTTTTTATCCTTATTCTGCAAGTGCAGAAATGGTTCCTTCTTTGCAATAAATGTTTAGGATTTGGTAACTTCAAGGTTGCAACCAGAGTACTGTATTTAGATGCAAAAAGGGCTTCTTTGAAGTCAGTTCAGAATCTTTGAAGCATTTTTTGTGCTATAAAAGCTTGAAATTTTCATTCCACTTGCTTTGAGGTCCTTAATACAATTAGTTTGCCATTTTAGTTAGTAGCATAAAAAAAGATGAAAGTCACAATTATTTTCTTCCTTAAAGCCAACTAGAAGATTTTATGCTAATTCTTCTTCCCCGTTCTGATTAAAAAGTAATACAGTAGATTTCTACACAAAGGGGAAGGAAATCCTTCATATAAATCATGTCTAAATAGACAGTCAAAATGATATGTAAACTCATATTACTTAACTGTTAACAGAATTTTTATACCATAGTCAATCAATTAAAAATCATTTTCTATAGCATTTTTTATTTTTCTATTTTAAAAGTATTTCCTATATTGAAATTTTGCATTATTTCTAAGTTAACTATGAATTACTGTGAAGTATATTTAAAGTCACTTTTCGGTATATACTCTATGAAATGTGAATGCATTGTTTATCTGGGTTCATAGCCTTTAGAGAATGGGTAAAATCCTGATAAAAAATAAATAATAATGGGATCAAAGACAAGAAAAAAATTCCCCAAATTTTCCTTTCCTAGAGCACATTATATCATATGCAGAGAGCTTGTTACTGAGACTCATTTTCTTCACAAAGGAAATAAAAGACTCATTAGAAATGGAACTGCCTTATAAGATACTAGGTTTTGAATTAATTCCTCTTGTTGGTTATTAACAGTCATTATATTGAATTATCCCTTTCAGATAATCACTCCATTCAGGAGGCTAATGCTGTGTGCTGAGAACAGAAAAGAGATGGAAGACTGGATCAGCTCACTGAAGTCTGTACAGACCAGAGAACCTTACGAGGTAAAACAGCATCTCCCTGTTGTTTTTTTTATTTGTTTTGTTTGTTTTGTTTTGTTCTTACATCATGAGCATTAAGCAAAGAGCTAAATCAATACTGTGCCCCAAAAAAGTATGTATAGATTTATTCAGCTTGTTTAAGCCAGATGTTGATTTTTTTTTTTTTACTTAGAGTACTTTGGATTTAAGAGTAATGGGTTTGGAAATTAACTACAGTATCTGAGTTCCAAAGAGTCTAGCATTTGTTACCTTGTTTCCTTGTTCTTGCCATTGTATCCTGACATCTCCTTTCTAGGTGGCCCAGTTTAACATGGAACATTTCTCAGGGATGCACAACTGGTACGCTTGCTCTCACGCCCGCCCCACCTTCTGTAATGTGTGCCGAGAGAGTCTTTCCGGAGTCACTTCCCATGGCCTGTCCTGTGAAGGTACTGTAGCACCCAGCTTGTGTCCTGTCCCTGTGGTGACAATAACACACATGTGCCACTGTTGGTTTTGCACTGTTGTGAGGAGAGCAGACACTCTCCCTACAGGAAACACTGCCCATGGCTGGAAGCATCTCAGCTGGAACACAGTGTTCAAGCTTTGTTCTAGCTCAGTGTTGAGCTTTGCACACATACTAATTTGGGAAACAGTATTGCTCTGGGAGAGATAACATAAAATCATCTGAAAGGAGGCATAGAGGCATTGAAGGGAGGGCAGGGGAATGGGGGAAAAGGTAAGAACCGATATACATCATGTAATGGTACAAATTCCCAATGATGAATGTCATTGTATTATACACCTAAAACATACCGGTAAACTTAATGAATTAAAAAAAAAGAAGAAGAAAAGGAAGCATAAGTCAAAATGTAGTACCCCAAGGAACTAGGAGCTACTATCTAAAAAAGTCTTTTTGGACTTTTCACATTATATTATTCTGTATTCTGATTGATATTGAAAAACAAAACTTTTAGTCAGGACAGTTTATGTTCTTTGGCAAAATTACCAATTGTTACTTCTGTTGCATTACTGAAATATTTATTTATGATTAATTTAAACAAATGTCATTTCATTTATTACTTAATTTTGCAGTATTAGGGATCCAACCCAGGGTCTCAAGCATGCTAAGCAAGCTCTCTACTATTGAGCTACACCCCAGGCCCCAATGTCATTGTTTTATTTATTTTTTTTTTAAGTTTTCTAAAATTAAGACCCATGCAATTGTTTTCCCTATAGGATTTGTGAGTCATTTTTAATTTTAAGAACAATAACTGCCAAAGTTAAATGCATTAATACACCTTCTTTAGGTTTAATTTTGTACCTCAGTGATGAGGTGTGGAAGTGTTGTGTATTGCTTTTTAAACTATTTGTAATATCAATGCTAGCTTTTTTCTCTAGTACAAAATATCTTAAGCAATTTTGAATATAACTAATGAAAAATAATAGTCACAGTTTTACTTGATTTGAAATGATAAAACCTGTGCTAACCATAGGTTCATCTGTTTCTGGTGATACAGCACGGTGATGAAGAACAGAAAGGAGCAGACCTCTGTGGGGAAACCCTGTTCCATTGCTACCATTACAAGTGGTTACCAGGAGAAGGCGTTAAACACGCTTAGTCTCCTTTCCTTATCTGTGAGATGGGGATAATAGTCCTTTATACTTTATAGAATCACTATACAAATTAACTGAGAAAATACATCCAGTAAAATTACTTTTCTATCAAATAAATTGTCAAAGTTTATAACTGTGCTCTGTAAGAATTTTACCAAATACAGTATGTAAGTTGAGATTGCATCATAGACCTGATGCACAAAAATTCATAAAAGTGAAAAGTCAGAAAAGCCATTAAACATTTATTTTTTTAGTTTAAAGAATGATCATAAACAAAGACATATTTGGCCTTTCTGACTAGTAATCCCAAAGGGTTCATGTGATGGAGTAATCCTTCCAGGTTTGTAAAATTACTTAAAAAAAAAAAAAAAAAAGATCACCAAATCTAAGACACTCCATCATAGCCTTCTGATGTGAGATTGACACTGTTAAATACGTTTAATTATGTAATAATTGGGTCAGTAATAAAGTGAATATTTAAGCATTTTAATAAATAAAAACCACTTCAATTGGCAATAATAAGAAATTGAAGTCTTTATATAAATTTGTTATAGAGTTCTGTAAGTAATGTACTCTTCCTGTCTTTTTTAAAAAAGTCTGTCTTTAGATTTAAAATTTTCTTTAGAAGATTATGTTAGTATTCATTTTCTCTGCTACTGGTAATAAAATTTTAAATCTCTGATATCTTGCATGTTTGTATGTTTAGAACTATAGCATAAGTTTTCTTAAAATCCCAAAGTTTTTGTAAGTGCAAAAAAGTTGCCTTTTTAATGAGAGCATGGTTATTCTGGATATTTTTATCATAATTAAAATTAAACTTTTAAAGCTCTCCCTCAAGTATGAATAAACTGCTTGCATGATGAAGCTGAAAGCATAGGGTACAAGAGGCTTTAAAATTTATAATGAGAGGTCTGGGGATGTAGTCCAGAATTAACAGTGCTTGCCTAACATGGGTGAGGCCCTGGGTTCACTCTCAACATCATGAAAAAAAATTTGTAATAGTGGTGGAAATACAGTAAACATTTATTCAGTAGTGACAACTAGTAACTTTATATCAGAGTGAAATCCAGTGAAGCCATCCATCACTAAATTTATTTGCCTTTTCTATTCTTGTTTTTCGCAATAGAATGAGACTATGTTTATTAGTCTTCTAGATTTTTATTGAGTAATAACTAAATTTTTAAGTCTTACATATATAAAATCTGAACAGAAATATGATGGTTTTCATAATTCCTAAATTGCTTGTGAATGTTAATTATAATTTTAGGGCATAACTCTCCTTCGTGGTTATTTAAACAGTAACTTCACAAAAAATTTAAATGACAATTTTCTCTTAAATCAGCAACACCAAATATGTCAACCTGGCACTTAAGAATTTTTATCTGTAGTTTATCACAAAGATTCAGTGTGGTAAAGACTAAATATCACAATAAAAATAAGAATTTTGTCATATATCACATTTTTAAGCTTTGTGGTTTTAAATTCTGGCTTCACGACTCAGGGAAAAGTGCATTATTTTAGAATAACTTGTTAGGGTAATTTAATTATCACTCAACAAAATTAAGGTGCCCATTAATCATTTCCATTTCTTAGTGACCATAATAAACAGTCTGGCTTGTTTTATTATTATCATTATGTGTTATAACAGGTACTTTGTAATTCACAAGGCTTATTGCGTGAAGAACTTTATTATTATAAAAGTGTGGTTTTATTTTTGATGAGCTGTTTGATTTTTAATACCAATCTTTTTAAAAAGCCACGAAAGGGCCGAGGTGCCACTCAGAGGTAGAGTGGTTGCCTAGTGTGAGGCCCTGGCTTCAATCCTGAGCACCAGTTGGGGAAGGTGGCGTGAAATTATACCCTGTTACACTTTTATGTCTTTCTCTTCCCTATTTATAAAACAAACAAACAAACAAACACAGATATTGACTATTAGTAACTAATACAAGACACTGGGAACCTTGTAAATTTTAGGACACCACTTTTGAGAAATACCCTAATAGATGAAAAGGCCTAGAGATGCTAACCAACCAGAGTTTAAGATAGTTCACTTGAATTGGAAGAAAAGGAAGCAGGTACTAATAATTTTTTTTTTTTGAGACAGGGTCTCACTATGTAGTTGAGACTGACCTGGAACTCACTATGTAGCCCTGGCTGATCTTGAACTCACAGCAGTCCTCCTGCCTCAGCCTCCTGAGTGCTGGGATTACAGGCGTGAGCCACCACATCTGGCTAATAAAAATTTTCTTAAGCTAAACTTACTTCTGACAGTGTTTTGTCTTCACACTTGTTATCAGCAACAAAATTCAATTAAAATATTTTCTATATGAAGTCTATATTTGAGTCACATAGTTATAACAAAAAGAATATCATTGCCAGGAAAAAATTTTCAAAGTATACAAAAGAGGAGCTAAATGAAGTATTTTAAATGTTTATAAACAATGCTTTTTAAGGACAGACCAGCTCAGTTAAGTAGCCATTTGTAAATGGTCTTGTGGCGTTTTGAACATTTGATTTACAGACATCTAAGTTATTTTATATGAAGCTTTGAGTTTCATAAACATCAAATTAGGATACTTAAAAATGAATAGTATATAAATCATCCTTCAATATTAATGATTGTTAGAATTTTTTTAAATCGTATGAAGAAAAGCCATCTCACATTTAAATTTAGTAACAGCTACCTTATTAAGTTCCATTGAAGTAATCTCTACTTTTAGTTGTTTACCTAAAAAGTCAAGAGCTGATATATCTTGAGTATCCACTAATTCTTGGACAATTTGTGTCTTTAGACAAATGAATGTATTTAGTAGCACTTAACTTCTGGTTTTCAAAAGCATGATTAATTTTCAATTAACCTATGGTTTCCTTGTTTTCCCATTTATGTGCTGCTCCTTTCCTACTTCTTTCCTCTTGTTTCTCTTTTCATAAACTCCTTTATATACTATAACTACAAAGAATTAGTGAAGGCTGAAGTGGCGACATTATTTCTTCCTTCCCTCCTTCCTTCCACATTTACGATACAATCCTCTCAATGCAATACTTTTGAAAGACAGTGCCATCTTTGTGGTCCCCATCAACCCCTTTCCCATGATGCCTGGTCGTTTTCTTGCACTTCAAAACTTCTCTGAATTAACCCTTATCATACTGATATTTACAAACTTACTAATACAAATATACATACAGTATGATGCAGTTATTAGAAATGTACAGCTTGGTGAATTTTCTCAGATTAAACACATTTATGTAATCAACACCCCGATTAAGAAATAGGATGCTTCCCGCACACTGGTTACTGTATTCTATTTGTGTGTGTGTGTGTGTGTGTGTGTGTGTGTGTGTGTGTGTGTAGGTGCATGTTTCTCTCTTCTCCTCAAGAACTAATTCTTTTGTATTTTATTTCTGTTCTTCTAAGTCACAATCTTTAACTTCTAAGTACTTCATAAACACAAGGCCATATTAATTTTTACAAATACCATTAACCATCATTGGAGATTAATTTAAACTTTTTTAAATACTTGTTTTCCTTCGTCCTTTCTTGTCTTTTAAAATTTCATGCTGTGATTTCCTTCAATATTTGGTGTAAAACAACTTGTTTACTTTAAAATGGTGGCTTATTTTACCTTATTGTTTTTTAGTGTGTAAATTCAAGGCTCACAAAAGATGTGCTGTGCGGGCAACAAATAACTGCAAGTGGACAACCCTGGCCTCCATCGGGAAGGACATCATGGAGGATGAAGATGGAGTAAGCTGCTTTCTGTTTCATACCTCATCCCTCAACCTCCTCTCTGCTTTTCCTCTCTTTGGAAAAACAGTGATAGACAGATAAGTGAGAACGGAAAATACTGATAGTTAAGCAGGAGTGTTTATTTTAGGATTAAATAGAAGATATTAGTCCATTCTGCATTTTTTTAAAAAAATTCTTTGCTTCATAGCTTTCCTCGGTTCTTGTATGTTAAAGGAAATTTGTCACGAGCAGGGCTTAGGAGTGACCGCCGGGCTGGCCTGGTGTTGTAGACTGTTTGCTGAACTCTGTGATATTTAAGGCTCAGTGGAGATGTTCACGCTTTAGACTTTGGGGTTTCCTCTCAACCATACCCCTAACATTCAAAGAGTTGCCTTCATTGTATGTTGCCTCCTGGTCTCTGGTAGCCCCTTGGTGACCATACTTTTCTCCTCAGCTGGACGTCTATCTGAATCCCAAAGGGAAGGGCTTTTGTCTTACTTAACCTTATATTCCAGCAGAGTCAGGCATAATAGATGCTCAGTAAATGTGGGAATAAATGAGTGAATGCCATGCTGATGCACACTATTGAGTCCATAGAGTAAGCAACCATTCCGTATCTTCCCTAGGGTAAGAATGGTGTCCTCCACAGTCTTCACTTTGGCTGCCCTTTCTTCGTGCCCCACAGGTGGCGATGCCTCACCAATGGCTGGAGGGCAACTTGCCTGTGAGCGCCAAGTGTGCTGTCTGTGACAAAACGTGTGGCAGTGTTCTTCGTCTGCAAGATTGGAAATGCCTTTGGTGTAAAACAATGGTGAGGGTTTAGAATTGTTATATTTCTCAAGATCTCCTTCTCATGGTTTTATTGTTCTCCATTTTGCTTTCCCTGTGCAGTGGTTTGCTATCGTCAGGCCTATTTAACCACCTAGTATACACAGAGAGCTCTTTTCTGGTATGCCATCAGATTTTAGTTGGCATTAAAAATATAATTTTGCTGTAGCCCCATATGTCTGGTAAGCTATGCACTGATGTGATTTAAATTATATATGTTTATGTTATACAAATAAACGTTTGAAACCATCTTTGCCAGTGCAAGAAGGAAGTGAAAAGCACATACAACATAATGTGAGTCAGCAGCAAGGAATGGTCCCGTGTAAGCTGCTTTAGAAGGCAGGGCTTCTGGACTGCATGAGGACAGTCAGAGGAAGGAGGCTGTGCAGGTGGTGTCAAGGCGCTAAATGACCTCAGGACAAGGATGATGTTCCCATCCGTGCTCTTCTTGTTTTTGTCACTGAGCTGTGCTATCCTACAGTGACACTGCCTTAAGCTGAGGCAGACTCATTTAACAGCTTCAGTCATGAATAGTCTTAAAGTTACTGGTTCAGCTTTGGAAATCAGCCTCATATTTACCAATGTGGAAAAGCCAGTGTTTTGGGTGAGTATGGTGTAGATCAGCAGGCCCAAGAGATGTAAGTATTATGTATTGATTTCCTAATCAGTGAGATAGATGGACTGCTTAGGCCCCAGAGGAAAATAAGCCCTACAGCTTTTCTGTAAGGCTTCAAAAATTGTCTCTGATTCCTTTTAGTTTTTAAATATGATTCTATTTGTGCTCATCATTTTGTTATTCATCAGTTGCCTCTTTTATTTGCCACTGTAATGTTGATTTTTATTTCTTTTATTTCACTTAATATATAGACTATAATTGGTGTCTATTTTTGGACTCAATATATTAAAGGCCTGTCTTATGCCATTCTTATTTTAAAAGACTGCTACCCATAAAGATGATTTTAAGTCATCCTACTATTTCTTTGTTCAGGGATAAGCACTGATAGCATTGCCTACTATTTTTATTAGCAGTGCATTTATTTATTTATTTACTTACTTACTCCTAGAGCTCTGGCTGTTTATTTCCACTTTCTTTGAAATAAAACATACCTTGTGTGAGATGAATTATTTAGAAAGGCTTTATATAAATTGTCTTTGCCTGCAATGTGTATGTTTACTTTTGTCTAGCCAGTAGTTTTTAAATACTTTTAACTTGAACAATAGGAGTTGTCAGGTTTTATACTTATTCATTCTGTTCACCTCTAACTTTGAGAAGCTTTGCACACAGAATGTCACTGTTGTTACAGTCATTGCACAGGGGGACTCTGAAATGTCTTCTCTCTCCTTTCTCCTGGCAGATTCAGATCTCACTTAGTCGTGACATCATCCCTGCTTCACCCTGGTTAGACACGCTGTATCCTGTTCCCATCCACTTCGTAACACTTCTCCTTAATTCCCACTTCCTATACCCTGTCATTAGCTGTTTACCTACTCTTATGCTCTGCCATAGAGAAAGATGGACTTGTGTTATTTGGAGGGCAGTGATTCACCTTGAGGTGTTAATAAAGTAAATGTTAGTGGTAAGTGAAGTGAAGTAAATCAGACACGTGAGCTTAAGTATTGCATGGTTTCTCTTATTGAGAAACTCGATATATAATAAGGTGCAAAATAAGAGACACATAGAAAGAAAAAAGTTATTGTAATCCAGCATGACTGAGATATCTAAAACTGTACCTTGATTTACTGTAATTGTCTTATGTGTTTTATGTGTTTTTTGGCCTGTTAGACTTGCTTTTAATCTGTTTATCATAATTAACTTGATAAACACATAAAATAAATGAATCTGTTGCTGGCAGAAAAATAAAATGGGTGGAGAGGAAGGGGAAAACAAGAATTGAGTTGTGTTATGTACATGTACCAATTCCCCACAATGAATGTAATCATAATGTATTGCAAACATGTACTAATAAAAATTTAAAAAATTTTTAAATGTATAAAAATTAAGAGTGTTTAGCCAGGGATGATGGCAAGTACCTTTAAACCTCTATACTTTGTAGCCTGAGGCAAGATCGCAAGTTGAGTTAACCTGAACAATTTAGGGAGACCCTGTTTCAAAGTAAACAATAAAAAGGCTAGGGGGATACTTCAAAAGTAAAGCACCCCTGATTTGTACCCCAGTACTACAAAAAAAAAAAACAGGTTTCTAAAAGACAGGCTGTGCAGTGCTTAAAACAGTGAAAAGCTAAACCAAAAAATTAAAAAACCCAACCCCAAAGGCCATAGCTTCACAACTGTAATGATTCAACGAGTAATTTTTAATATAGTGAAGATACAGTGTATCTTCTGCTTTTTTCACTTCCCATTATTGCAAATATTTTTCTGTTTTGCTCCAAGATTCTCAAACATTTTAAAATTCCTTTTAAAACTATCCATGCATTATAGTTTTTCTAAAATGCATTTGTGTCATTATTATAAATCATAATAGGAAAGTGATCAAAACCAAGTCATCAGTAGAATAAAAATCACTATTAAATTTCATTTATCCTCCCAAACGTTTTAATAAATATAAGTTTAGCTGGGAGTGGTGGCGCTCGCCTGTAATCCCAGCCCTCTGGAGGCTGAGGCAGGAGGATCGCTGAGTTCGAGACCAGCCTGGGCTACATAGTGAGTTCCAGATCAGTCTCAACTACATAGTGAGACCCTGTCTTAAAAAGCCAAAAAATAAAAATAGAAAAAGAAGTTTAATTAATATGCCAGTTTTCTTAAAGAACTAATGAAATAGCCTAGTGTGGTAGAGCTCGCCTGTAATCCCAGTCCTCAGGAGGCTAAAGCAGGAGGATCACTGTGAGTTCAAGACCAGCCTGGGCTACATAGTGAATTCCAGGTCAGTCTCAACTACACAGTGAGACCCTGTCTCAAAAAAAACAAACAAAAAAAACTAATGAAATAAAGATATATAAAATAAATGGTTCAGGAAACATCTGTATTTGCTGGTTAGAACACTTAAAAAACTTTCTAGGTAAGTACACAAAGAATTCTAAATAACCTGGCTTCTACTTGGCAAGTTAGCCCTGCTTTGCCCTACACTATATCTTGAGAGACCTTGGAAGTTTTGTTTCTACAGAGTTAGCATGTTTACTGTAGTCTTTAGTGTGTATCTCTCCTTTTCCATACAGAGCAGCAGTCTAGCTGAGAAAATAGCCATTGATAGGCTTATAGATAATACTATAAACAGCTGTGAAATTTGTGCATGAAAGATATAGGACCACTGCAGAAAGAGCACCGGCACATTACAGATTTTAGTTGTTTTTAATTTCAATGAGAATTTTTCCTTTTTTTTTTTTTTTTTTTTTTGTAGTACTGGGGATCGAACTTAGAACCTTGTGCTTGTGAGGCAGGTTGTGTAACCACTGAGCTAAATCCTCAGCCCTTTATGAGAATTTTTTACGGCAGATGCCATCAGTTTGTTTCATGGACATGATGTTTACATACTGGTTAGCGTGTCTCCTTTCTCCCCCATTTCAGTTTTTTTCCTTTCGTCTTCCTCACTCCCTCTCTCCTCTCTCTTTTCCTCTTTTTCTTTGCACCTCCTCTCTTCTAATCTTTTCTCCTTGCCTTCACTAGGCGTTCATGCATTTCCATACACACACACACACACACACACACACACACACACACACACACACACACATGTCTTGTTTGAGACAGCCACACAAACAAGCTGCACAAACCCAAATCAAATTCCCATCCCTAATACACTTAGTCTGTTCCTTAGAAGTATAAATATTGTGCTAAAGTAATTTATGGATTACTGAACATTTTGTGATGCCCTTGATCCTAAATGGTTATTTAGTGCAGTAGATGTAATTTATAACATAGCAAAAAATTGGTCTGTTTTTATGATTCTTGAAGACTTATTTGTTTATCAGGTACACACTGCCTGCAAAGATTTATACCACCCCGTATGTCCACTTGGCCAATGTAAAGTATCTATTATACCTCCAATTGCACTGAACAGCACTGACTCTGACGGTATGTAACAGTAGTGTAAGTATGTGCATTTCTGATATATTTGATGCTGATACGTACATTTATTTTCCTAGAATAAATATAACTGTAATAGGTTTTTCTGATCAGTTTTTATATAATGATTATACTTAAATTGTTGAATAGTACATTTAATTTCTAAAAGAATATTTAGGTGGAATTTGTAACACAGCTATTCACATACTGGTGAAATTACCATGTAGATTTTACATTTCGGTAAGCAAAGAAAGATCATTATTCTATACTAAAATACAGTCTAAAAAGAGTAATTTTTTTCTCACTATAATTGAACAGCATGACTGTTATTAAAATTTGTTTCTTGTCATTTATATTCCTATAAATGCATTCACTTTTTCCAGTCTTTCAACTTATTAGTTTGTAAATGCTGAGGAAACTTTCACAGCACTGGTTTGAGGGGTTGCATACTATTAGTTATAACTTCCTTCTAGGCAAGCCACATTAAAAAGTGCTTTTACCATTTACCATTATTTATGTCTTGTGTTGATATCATGCTTTATGCTTTTCAAACTTTTTATATAAATTTTACCAGTAGACATGTTAGATGGAAATATATAAATCTTAAAAGATGTGATTTTTTTTTTTTAAAATCTATGCTATTGGCCAGGGATTTGGCTCAGTGGTGCTGCCTACCTTGCAAGCACAAGGTCCAGAGTTTGATCCCCTGTACAAAAAAAAAAATCTATGCTATGGATAGCTCCATCCATAGTCTCCAATAAAACAAGATTGTTTTGTTTGTTATAAATTTTAAATATTTTCTCACGCTTCAGCAAAGAGCAGTTAAAATATTTTAAAATACTAATTATAAACATGGATTTTTTTGACAAATGTGAATTCATAGACTGTGATTAGTGTTTTTGTTTATTTGTTTTGTTTTGGTACCAGGGATTGAACTCAGGACCTTGCACTTGAGAGGCAGGTGGTGGAACCACTGAGCTAAATTCCCAGCCCTGTGAAATTAGTTTTTATAATTAAGTATTGTTAACAGGTAGTTTCCCCAAAGTGATTTATGTACTTTTGCTAGCTTTGTTATGATTTCTTTTTATAGAGTAATAAATAAGATTCTTTATTGTGAGTGCATAAGTGTGTGTGTGTGTGTGTGTGTGTGTGTGTGTGTGTGTGTTAATAGGGGTTGAACCCAGGGCCTTTGTATTGAGATATATCCCAAACCCTTTTTAAAAAAATTTTGTAGACAGGGTCTGACAAAGTTACTAAGTTGCCCAGGCTGAACTCAAACTTTTAGTCCTCCTGCTTCAGCCTCCAAGAGTGCTAGGTTTACGGGAGTGTGCCCCCATACTTAGAGTATATTTTTAAAAGATAAGCTGTATTCTTAGTATGTAAATGGTAAGCCTGTCTTCAGTTAGAGGACTAAAGTATAAGTGGGTGTTCCAACAGTAAAGAAGGTTCTTTATGAATTTATCTTTTTTTTCTGAATTGTGTGTTAGTAATTTAAGAGAGGAGCTGCATGTGCTGATCATGTACTTTCTTTCTTTTTTTTTGCAGGTTTCTGTAGAGCAACATTTTCATTCTGTGTTAGTCCTCTATTGGTTTTTGTCAATTCTAAGAGTGGAGATAATCAGGGAGTAAAGTTCCTTCGTCGTTTTAAACAGCTGCTAAATCCTGCCCAGGTGTTTGATTTAATGAATGGAGGTCCTCATTTAGGGTAATTCTTTATTGATAAATCTTATTACTAAAAAATATAGCAAATGTCTGACTTCTCAGCTCTTGAAACTTGTAGATTCTTCTAGACATTGCTATATCCATCTTCAACTACTTCCCTTGTTTAAGGCTCTGATTAAAAGTTAGTTTGTTTGTTTGTTTGTTTTGAGACAGGCTCCATAGCCTGGGCTGGCCTAGAACTCACTTCATAGCCCAGGCTAGCCTTGAATATGTGGTGATCTTCGTGCCTTAGCTTCTCAAGTACTAGGATTACAGGCACGTACCACCACACCCAGCTTCTGATTATAAGTTTTAACACAATCTTTTCAGCAGTTATTCAGCTTCTTCATATGAAATCCAAATTTTTTACTTTAATTTCCAAATTCCAAAATTTGTTTAGAAAATGATTTAGAACATATCTTCCATTTAATAATTTGTTTAGCTCCAAAAACAATCATATTACATAAATACAAAATTATTTGCATAGAAAACTGATACTGATTTTTATGTAATGCACATAATCAGTGCCTTAACTAAGAAAAGGTACTATCATGGATCTCAAGGATAGTTCTTCAGGATTTCAGACTCAATTCACATAAATTCCAAAAAAATGCTTTTGTTGAGTGTTCTTTTCATCTTTCTATGATGTCATATAATTTAAAATCTGAAGAGGTTTAGATCAATGAGGGGCAATGTGCCTTGAGACACAATTCATATGTTTTTAGGCTATATATATGACTTTTTAAGAGGTGATACTTGTCTTCTGATACAGGGGCCTTTAGTCGCTGTATGATTTGCTTGTGCCCCTCCCCCCGTGGGTTCTAATGACCTTAAAAGAATGCACACAGAGTGTAAATGAAGAATTTAGATACCAGTGCCTAGAAAGCATTGTGTGGTTTATAATTTGACACTTTCTTCTGTCTTCTGTTTCAATCTCTCTTTTTTTTTTGCCTCTTGTCCCATTTGTCCTCTTAGGGTCTTTTTTCCTCATTCATTTTCCTCCTCGTACTGATTGTCAGGCCATCTGGTCACATAAATGGTAGTTGTATGCATTTATATCCAGCCTTTTTGGCAGCCACTTATGTACCCCTTCCTTTCCTGTTGGCATTCTATCATTTCTTCTGGAGCCGCTCTTTTTCTTTGTCCCCTCTGTTCTTAGGTAATTTTGTCCCCCTTTCTAACACATTAGTTTTATAATCCTTTGTAATTCCATTATCTTTTTTTTTACTTTTGAATTATATTGCTGCTGGAGAGTAAACCGAGGGCCTCGTGCATGTAAACAGGTGTTTTACCACTAAATTATGCCTACAGCTCCCTCTCATAATCATGATACTTATTTTTTTCCATTAATCTTCTAAGCTTCCAAGAGTCTGTCTTGGTGAAATTTCTTCAGGTGGTTCCTACTTTTCAGATTTTTCACAATCCCTGAGGTTTACATTAACACATTGAGGAGATGGAATGTGTCAAAGTTGTGATGAAGGAAGCTAGAAGTAAAAGGACTGGCCTGAAACCAGGAGGGAAGGAGAACTAGGGTAGTTGACAGTACTAAGGGCCATCTGCTGGCAAGCTTTGGAAATCTCTTTAGGAACTGACTTGATGCAACCCAGTAGCATCCCATCCAAAATTCTCTTCCCTAGTGGGAAGGGTAGGGGAAAGGCAATAAGGGGAAAAAATATATGAGAAAAATGAAAAAATGGAAATAAAGTTTTTGTAAATAGGGAAGGGAGGAGGGCTAAAGGGAGGGCAGGGGTAAGGGGAAAAAATGAGAACCAAGACCTGTCATGTAAAGGTACAAGATCCCAATGATGAATATAACTGTACTGTATACCTAAAATGTACCAATAAACTCAATGAGGGAAAAAAATTCTCTTCCCTTAGTTTTTAATTCTTAAGAAAATAGCATTCTTGTAATGGATAGAGAGAAATCACTACTTTTACCATCTCATATTACTTTATCTTTAGTTCTGCTTCCATTTTATTTGTCCTTACTTCTCAATCTACTTTCCTTCTGATTTTCTCTCTGTTTTTGCTTATAATTTGCTTTCTTCTGATTCAAAAGTTTTCTTGTTAAAAATTGCAGTTGAATTAGTTTTTGTAGTTTAATACATAAATAAAAGTTCTTATATTTAACCTGGAAATAAAAATGCCAATGAAATCATAATGACAAAGAATTAAGGAACGTGATTTTTATTTTACTAACATAAAATACATTTTACTTTCAGTTTAAGATTATTTCAGAAGTTTGACAATTTCCGGATTCTTGTCTGTGGAGGTGATGGAAGTGTAGGTTGGGTATTGTCAGAAATTGATAAGCTCAATCTGAATAAACAGGTAAATGCTAATTTTTTTCTTGCTAGTTTACATGAATGCATACTACTTGCCAAAGAGATGCAGAAATGTAACAGTTAAAATTCGCAACATGTCTGAAAGTCTTTGCTTTGCACTCTCTTGTAGTGTCAGCTGGGAGTGTTGCCCTTGGGCACAGGGAACGACCTTGCTCGAGTTCTTGGTTGGGGAGGTTCATATGATGATGACACCCAGCTTCCTCAGATACTAGAGAAGCTGGAACGAGCCAGTACTAAAATGTTGGACAGGTAAGACAATCCTAAAACTGGACTGAAAATGACACACTGAAATCTTTTTAATAATTGAAATTGTTCTCAACTGTAAACCCCACTAAAGGCAGACACTTCTGGTTATCATCTGGTCTAGTCCACTGTTTGATCACTGAGATCAAGATCACACTTAACACGAGTCGATACTCAATAAAGATGTTTTTTGAGTAATGAATAAAAATCTCCAAAAACTACTCCAAGGAACCCATTATTTTATAGGCTGAAGACTAATTGCTTTTAATCTCTCTTCAGGTAGGAAAGCTAAAATAGTTAATTTTGTAGGGAGGCTTTCATGAGTATAAAAAGTAAAGCTCTATTATCTTGTTGTTTCAGAAGACCTAAGAAAGACATAAACTTTAGAGCTTTTCTTCATTTTGCATATTAAGAATTGACTCAATAAGGAATTGAATATTTAAAAAAACAAGGAATCTTGTTCCCTGTACAGGGAAGTTATTAGGAAGACAGCTGTGAATGAAGTTTCACTGTGTTTACGTGTCCTTAATCACGTCATAGCCACTTCCTGAATGGCCCATGCATAAAACAGAAATCACAATGAGCACAGCCTCAGTGTTGTGGAGGAGCTGTTTGCAGGAGGTGAAGGGAAGAGCGGGACTCAGTAAGCAGTAATTACCCCACCCCTGTGAGTAGAAGACAAATGTCAAAATATCATAGTAGACTTGAGCTAGCATGAATCCAAACAATTTTGATAGGATTAGCCATCGGAACTCTTCCCGAAAATAATAAAATCGCATCAGGGAGCTGCCAATCTAAAATGCAATTATTCTAAGACAAGCTATAACCTAATTAATTTCAACCTTGTCTGTCATATGGTAATGCAGTGCTTGATTCCTTTGCTGACAGATACTTAAAAAGAGCTGGAGAGTAAAACATTTCATAAAGATTTATAATCTAAGGTAGAGCTGGATTCTGGTTTGTTTTTTTGTTTTTTTTTTAAACGAAAACTCTGAAATGATGCATGAGTTAACCAGGTTTACTTTGGTGATATTTCATGATGTATAGGTATACCAAAGTGTAAGGTTGTACACTGTAAACATAGACAGTCTTTGTCAGTTACACCTTAATCACATTGAGGAAAAAAACAAGATTGGAAATAAGTAAATAAAACCACCATTATATAGAAAAGCCCCTAGAGGTGATTTCTTGGATAGTTGTCCAAATCTTTGTTTACCAAAAAGCACCAAATATTTTAAATGCTGCCTTACTGATTTATTACCCCTCCTGCTGCATCCCAGGATATATTTCTAGGTATTTCTTCTACTCTGGCTGTGTGCTTTTCCCTTGCCTGATACAGAAATTAACTTCTCAGAAAGAGCAACCCCATGGTGAAATTTCTTGATACCAGCAGACCTGTAAAAAATACAAGAAAAAAATATCAACATGGATTCATAAGCCTAGGACTGGTATTAGAAATACAAGAATATTTGATTTCTGTGTTTTCTTTACTAATTTACTATTTATAAAAAAATAAATAAAATAAAAGGACTCCAGGCATGGTGGTACATGCCTGTAACAGAGCTACTCAGTAAACTTGAGTCAGAAGATTGAAAGTTTCAGACCAGCCTGGGAAACATAGTGAGATCTTGCCTCGACATAAAAAATAAAAAGGCCTGGGGATGTACCTGACTAGTAAAGCACTGCTTAGTTCAGTCCCTAGTACTGCAGAACACAAAACTGATGACCCCCAAACCACAAGTGAAAATAAAAGTCAAAAAAGAACCACTGTCTAACAGTCTACATCTTTTATATATAAATGTATTTGATCTTCAAAACAATACTGTGGAATGACTTAGAAAAGCAATTTCACTGCCTTACAAAGATGTAAATGGAAGCTTCTGAAGGCAGTAGGAGTAAAAACAACTGATATTTTTTGCCAGTACTTCTAGTTGTTTTATTTAATCATTGCTACACTCAGAGAGAGAGAGAGAGAGAGAGAGAGAGAGAGAGCACCAATGCTGTCATCTTCATTTTCCTGGTAAAAAGGCTCAAGAGAGATTTTTACATGATGAGAGCTGTACAGCTACTAAGTACTAGAACTGGTGCTCTAAACTGGAATCCAGACTTCAGATCCTAAGGTCTTTCCTTAAGAGTGCACTCTCTCCCACCTCAAAGCATGTATGTACCATCAAAATTCTAATCTTCTGGTTTCTACTTCTGTGTGCCTGGTACTAATACACACTTCTGCCTAAATCTTTCCTTGCTTCCTGCTATTTTCTCCTGTTTCTTCAGCTCCAACAATTTCCTTCCAAGGAGAGAGGTACAGCATAGAAGGCATAGACACCGGATGGATTTCTTTCCCTTTTCTTGAACTGACTTTTGTCCAGAGAATTGTTTCCACTCACATTTTCTCTGTTTGGATCTTTGCAAATTCACTTATTTTGTTTACTTATATTAGCTCTGTTTTCTCTGCTAGAATATGTGCTTCATTTAGGAAAGCCTTCACTCTTGTGTTTCTAGATCTTGTCTGTGACTTTGAGACTTTTGATATGTATCTGTTGAGTGGATGGAGGGATGGATCAATGGATGAATGGTTTTTGATGTTCAGATGTGAATTTCTTTATAATATTTTTATGTGAAAAGTTGGACAGTAGCTACAAGTAATTATTCAGTTTATATATCCTACCACATGACATAGAAGAATTTCTTGGAATTCAGGTTTTTATACACAGACTTAGTACTCTGGATAACACACTCAGCTCTGTTAAAAAATTGATCTTGGTTTACATCTAGGCTCCATCACTGGCTTCAGCTGTTTTATGCTTTTCTTAAAATACATTTATGACAGTAGTGCTTTTATAAATAAGGCTTTGTATCCATGTAAAATCTATCTTACATCTTAGAAGCCTACAATAATAAGGTCCTGGTCCAGTTGCTTTTCCAGAATTTGGAAATTATTATTTTAGATAGAAGACTAGAGTTATCCTGAGTTGTTTATGTTTGTCTTAACACTGTTTGATTCAATATTTGCTTTGATACTAATACTTAAGAGTTAATTGAAACAAATATGCTTGAATCAAATAGTATTTCCTTTAAGATATTTCCCTCAATCTCATTCTTACATTTATTCTTTCTTAAAGTAAGAAATGGTATTTATCTAATATTTATTTCATGTATGTGTGTATATGTATGTTTGTATGTATAAGCTGCTTTGGCAAGAGTGACTGGTACAGAGGCAATGGTTTATTTTAGATGGTATGCATTTATTTAATCTAACAGTGATGGTGAACCTTTTAGAGTTCAGTGCCTGAACTGCAACCTAAAACTCACTTACATATTGCAAAGTGTCAACACTGCAGTTAAACCTGAGTACTGAGGTTTTAGTTTAGAAAAAACAAGTCATACATTAGCATATTTTGTTTTGAAAGAAAAACCGATAACACACTTGCCATAGGTTTGCCACCACTAAGTCCTAGGTCATTGTTTTAGAACTCTGGGTAGGGAACCATTAATACTTTGTGATCTAGTTAGTAAAATTGCAGTGAGCATTATTTTAAAAGTAGAAGAGAAAAAGAAGAAGAAAGTCAGAACGCATTGTGCCTAATAAAGAGTGGTATTCTTATTAAACATGAGCATTTCTTACTGTGGAAAGTATTCAAGTGTTTGGAAGCCACTAATTTGAAGAAATGGTAAAATGTGGAAATCATAAATGTGAATCCTATAATTTGAGGTTACCAAAATTTCATCTCTTTCTTCATTTTTGGTTAAGGGAAAATAAAACCTAGAAAATATAGTTAAATATTAAAGGAATTTTGGACCAAAGAATTTTCTCCCTTCAGGTGGAGTATAATGACATATGAACTCAAATTGCCACCGAAAACTTCTCTACTTCCTGAACCTCCAGAAGCACCTGAAGAATTCTATGTAAGATTTAACTCTGCCTATTTATCATTTGAAATGGGGGCGGATAGCTTGGGAAAAAATGAGAAAACTTACTCATAATGGTAATAACATACCTACTTAATTTATTTTCGTGAGGTTGTGTTTTGTTGACTTCTTCTAATTAGACTGTGACCATCCACACTGGGTGCATGACCTCACCTTTAGGGCCTTTATTACTTCATCTGTAAAGTGAGGCTAGTGTTGTGAAGATTAAATGATGCAGCAGATGTGTGTGGAGCACCAGGCACGCAAGGTCCCCTTCTTGTGACCCAGTATTTCTCCCTAGCCTTTCCTTTTTCATCAGCAGAACTCCAACAGAGGCCAGCTGGTGGCAGCCTCCTATCACCTTCTGCTCACTTTCTGCCTTGGTTGTGAGCACCCGTTTCATTATGAGGTATTAGCCTAGCTGCCTTCATTTCTTCGTCAATCTCCATATAAACCAGCACATGAAGCCAGAATATTACATAATCTCTTAGTTCTTTGCCTGATCTTTGAAGAGGGCAGCAGGATAGGGTTAAACCTGTTGATCCACAGAATGTAAAAGGCAGCTCACTTTATTCTATCCCTGCTGTAGACCACAAATGTCTCAGCTTTTCAGAGGGTTTTAAAGATTCAGCATTCTGGTTACACCTCAAAGCAGCAGAGATTTAAAACAGAACCTAACTTTCAGAGGATTATTCTCTGACTCATTAAGACCATTTGATCTATGATAGCTTATTTTTCCCTCTAGCAGAATACATCAGTTTATTTTACGGTTGAAGTCTTTGTGTTGTCATTAATAAGTTATGATCTTGTCAAAACTAAGGCAGGGAATGGTAATTAGAAATGAATGTTTCTTCGAGAAGCTAATAATACTTTTTAAACTTTTCCTTATATAAAATAAAAATAATTGTTTCTATAACATTTTTAAAAATAGAAAATTATATGAAAAGAAAAATCACATACTTCCTACCACCCAGAGATAATCATTATTGAGAATTAATATATATTTGCTGCTTTATTTCCAGCAGCATTTTTCATTATAATATTACCCTACTTGTTCATGACCATCATACATGTTTTTATAGAAACCAGTCTTTTCTCAATAGTATTTTTGTAAATTTTTTTTCCAAAAAAGGGGGAAGGGTTCTTTTGTTTTACTTAAGAAATATCATCCATTTGTTTTACTTACTTCAGAAATGTCTATTTCTGAGCATATAAAATAAAGCTAGATAATTAACTTATCATTTATATGTAGTCACACTTTAATATGGGGTATAATTATAAGTACATGAAGGAAATACTTTACATTTTTAGCACAAATGGGCTTTGAATGAAACTTCATTTTTAAAAACTTTCATAACAAAGGGATAGCATACTTTAAGGTTACAGAGTAAGTAAATACGTATGACTCTAGGACCTAATCATTCTCTGGCTGAAGCCCGGAATACACTTTACTATGTGTAAATTTCTTTTTAACCTCTAAAGCTGTCCTAAAAGTAAGCTAAAATAAGAGCCACCGATTTAGCTCAGTGGTGCCACCACCTGCCTTGTATGTGCAAAGGCCTGAGTTCAATCCCCTGTACAAAAAAAAAGGTAAATCTTTCCTGTTGGCTTGTTGGCACTTCACAGGCTGGGATCTTAGGCAAAGTGCTCAGCTCATCTTAGTCTCAGGTTCCTTGACTATAAAACATGACATTAAAGGGGTACAAATATACAAAATGCTAAGCACAAGAAATATGTTAATTCTAATTATTACTTACCTTCCTAACCCTGCTAAGTGATTTTCTAATAGGTTAATAAATGACATCTGTAAGTTTTTATTTTTTTCCCGCTGTGGGACAAAAGATGAAGCCTGAGTTCTCAAGCATGCTAGGCAGGGGCTGTGCCACTGAGCTAAGTCCCAGCCTTGGTATCTGGAACTTTATCCTTAGACATAGAAGTTATTTTATTTTCCTCCAAAAGAGGCAGCATTTTTTTGTCTTTGAATATCTTTAATGAACAAAAACTTGGGTTTTAAAACATAGGTTGCAAGTGGCATCACTCAAATGATACTAATTAAAAAATTAACCAAGTAATTAACTAATTGATATTAATTAATGGCATTACTTGTCATTTAAAATATTTTCCACCCTGAAGGGAAGACAGTAAAAGTAATCTCTGGAGAACATTTCCTTATTTTGCATTTTTAGAACAGGTATTTTCAATTTCCTAATCTTTACAGATCTGATTTCTAGTATTTAAGCCAGTAGATCAATAGCATGCTTCTGTAGACTGTACAGTATTGTGGCAAGTATGCTGTCCTTTTGTTATGAAAGTTTTTAAAAATGAAGTTTCATTCAAAGCCCATTTGTGCTTTGGAGTTCCTGCTTTCCCCTCTTTTCTTTGATGTAAAATTGCTTTTCTATATGTGGTCTGCCTTTGAAAAGAATAAGAGAAACTTAAGAGTAGCCTCCCCAACTAGCCACTGCTGGACTGCATAGTAAGTTAGGAAAGAGACTGCTTTGAGGAAGAGGCTGGTCAGAAAGGCATCATGGGAGAAGGGGCGTTATCGGATCTGCACTTAGTCTGAATTAAGTGATGCTCATTCTTAAAAAGGCTTAAATACTAGAAAGTGAAAAGACATCTGGGTGAGGCAGAAGGACACTGGAAACTGGTTTGAATAGGACATCTCATTTATACTGGAAAAGTTTGAGCTGTGTGACCTGGAGTACATGAGGAAACATTTGATGGAAGTCTCTCAATATGAGGCTGTTTAAATGTTGTGCGTATCTTGCCATATTAGGAAGATGATCTCTTTCAACAGGAGGTTAAAGTTTGTATAGAACAGAAAAGGGAATATAGGATACGGCATTTTTTCATTACTTAAGAGAAATATTTCATGATTTATGACTATATATGATTGACTATGATTTCAGTTTTAAATTTTTTATTGAAATACAATATGCATACAAAATGTGTTGTGATCATAGCTATATAGCTTGATACATTTTCACGAACTAAACAAACCAGTATGCACAGGACAACATTCAAGTACTCCGCAGCCCCTTTTAGTCACCACCTCCCACCTCCAATCCATAACTACTATAAGCAACATAGATTAGGTTTGTTTCTTTTTACATATTATAAAATAGTTAGTGTATGTACCCTTTGGCCTCCAGATCCTTTACTCAACCTGTTTGCCAGATTCATCTATGTTCTAGTGTAGTCACTTCTTCTCATTGTCCTACAGTGTTCTGTTGCAATATTGAGTGAATGCTGTGTGGCTATTCTAGTATATGTCTTTTGATGAATATTCATATGCATTTCTTTGGGGTAAATATAATGTATATACAGTTTTTGTGACCTGTTGTACATATGATCAGCTTTTAAAATTTTTGTTTTTTCTCATACGAGGTACTTGAATGCAGGGCCTTTGCACTGAGCCACACCAGAGCAAAACCTGGGGAGATTTTTTATTTTTTATTTTGAGACAGGATCTTGCTAAGTTGCTCAGGCTGGGCTCAAACTCACAATTCTCCTGCTTCAGCCTCCCAGAGTGCTGAGATTATAAGCATGCTCTGCTACACCCCGCTGTATATGTTAAGCTTTAGGAGACACTATCAAATAGTTTTCTAGAGTGTTTCTATAAATTTTCAGTCCCCTCCGCAGTGTATGAAGGTGCTATAGATCCACAGTCCTGCAAACACGTAGCATTTTGCATTTGTTGCTGTTTTCATCCTGGTAGATATATGCTATAATACGTTGTGGTTTTAATTTGCATTTGCCATCTGGCTGCTGAGGTTGAACACCTTTTCATCTGTATATGGATCATTAGAATATTCCACTTAAATATTTTGCCCATTTTTAATTAGTTGCCTTATAGTTATTTTAAACTTTAACTTTTTTCATAATTTTAAGTATTAGACATTTATGGATTTTAAAGTATTCAAGAAACTGAAAGTCTTTCACAGAAAGTAGATACTCATCTGTTATGCTTAATGACTTTTTTATCATAGCCCTTGCTCTGTCCATGTATGTTATAAATGGTTCCACTTCTGAAGCAGTAATGACTAAGTTGTATAAATTCCAAAAATGATAATATTTTAGTTTTTTTTCTTTTTTAGATGACAATTTATGAAGACTCAGTTACAACTCATCTTTCAAAAATCCTCAATTCTGATGAACACGCAGTGGTCAGATCGTCTGCCAAGTGAGTTGTGGAGTCTCAAGTCATGATAGCTAGTTAAATGGTAAAAATTGAAGGAAAGCTGCTTGCTATCAATTCTTTGTGGTTTTCTTTTCAGTAAATATTTGTGAAGTAGCTTATAGAATTAGTTATATTAAATTTGACAGACATACAAATAGTAATTGCTTTTGGTGGCATTCTTTCCAGCAAAAGGAAATAGCAACAAATAATAGGAAAAGAAACCTAGGGGTGGAGAATGTAGCTCAGTGGCGATGGGTACAGTGCCTGCCTGGCAAGTGCAAGGTCCTGAGTTCGATTGCTGGTACTGAAAAAATGAAGAAAAAAAAAAACTGGCCTCAAGGCAAGAGAAGCACAGTGGTTGGTGCAGGCAGAGATGAGCTGCACACTCTTGTGTTTGTTTAATGAATTGGATGCTATATAGTGAAATGCACAGATTTCTAGTTTATCCCAGTCTCAACATCCCCCACAGTCTTCCTCAGCCTGGGCCCTGGGTTTCTTACCTCATCCCTGTACCCATTTGACTTGCCCCCACACCATCTTGCCCTTGAATCAATGGGTATTTATAGGATATTTCAGAGGACATTGCTAGAAAAGGAGAGTGGAAAGAGCAACTTTAAAAAAGTATAACCCATTATAAAATAACTATTCTTTGTTTAATAAACATACAATATTTTATCCTGCCACCTTTTGCAGTTGGATACTAGCAAAGCCACATTCACTTTCTGGTGTTTGATGCATTGGATCACCATTATTGATCACTGTACATTTTATATGTTTTTAGTCAAGTGAAATTCATGTTATAAAATGTGGACAGCTGCAAACAAAATCATAATGGCAGGCCAGAGATTTAGCTCAGTGGTTCCATTGCCTGCCTTGCCAGCACAAGGACCTGAGTTCGATCCCCGATAACAAAAAATAATGGCAACTGCCAATCCCTTTGTCTCTCACTATTTTTATTAATCATTTTTTTTTCTTTTGGTCCTAAGGAGTAAACTCACCAACTGTTGAGCTGAACTCTGCCCTTTTTATTCATTTATTCATTCACTGAGATAGAATCTTACTATGTAGTTCAGGCTGACCTTAAATTCACTATGTAGCCGAGGCAGAGGCAGGCCTTGAATTTATGGCTATCCTCCTGCCTTGGCTTCCTGATTGCTGGGATTATCATGTGCACCACCACACCTGACCCTTTTAAAATTTTGAGTCCACAGGCCAGGGATTTGGCTCAGTGGTTCCACACCCTGCCTCACAAGAGTGAGGGCCAGAGTTCAATCCTTGGTACCAAAAACAAAAAAAAAAATTTTTTTTTTTTGAGACCAGATCTCACTTAGTTGTCCAGGCTGGCCAGGAATTTCTGATCCTCCTGCCTCAGCTTCCTGAGTAGCTGGGATTATGGATAGGCATCACTGTGCCTGGTATCATTCGTAATAACTATGTAGGCTGACATTCTTAGCAGTGGAAACAATTTTTAAATAAAATCTTACACAGGATCCTAATATTAACTGATTAAAATTCTGTTTTGTTGATGTTAATAAATTGGATAATATTAAACTATTAAAGCCATTTATGAAATATTAAGCCAGAAGGTTAGAGATGGCACTTACAGTCATATCTGATGATATTTCCGACTAGCTCTGTATTTTATTTTGGTTATATAGTCATAAGGATATTATCTTCTGATATTGTATCAGTTAAATAGAGTGGCAGAGATTCTTTAATCCAAGATTTCCATAAACACTAGTAAATTCTAGAGAAAATGTTAACATTTGTCTCAATGTTTCTAATTATCATTTGAACATTTTAAATATTATTTGCTGTATTTCTAAATGAAATTCATAATAAGCACTTTTGAAATTCTCAAAGTACATAGAGAACAGTTTAGAAACCATGGCTGTAAGGAAATTTGGGTCTTGTTGACACCCATTTGCAAGCTTTGTGAGCTATGCCTATTTTAATCAGTGTGAAAATGAGAGAATGCCTATTATTTCTCCTTCATGGAAGTATTAGAATTAAATACAGTAATACAGAGAATATAACTATAGATTGCTGCATTAAATTATAATATCATTACCTCCTTTATCCAACTACATTTCTACTTTTTTTCTGTGATCTCGGTCTAGGCTCTGATCTTAGTCTCACCTTTGGGTTTCTCTCCACCCAATTCTTTTGCTTTGAGTGATCACCCCTCTGTGAGTGTAGGCCTGCTGCTGCCCTGCCATTACAACCCCACATTAAGTTCAACAGATAAAAGAGAGGACAGAATATAATACCCTTCTACTAATTTGATTTTTATGGACATTTTCAAACTTAGATAAAAATAAAGAGACTGATATAATAATTTCCCACCATACCATCACTCAGCTTTAGTATTTACCAATACTTTGCAATCTACTTTCAATCTATTTTACTATATCTCTAGACAAATACAAGGAATCATTTATTTTATTTCATTTTCAAATGTGGTTCCATGTGTAAAACCTTTTAAATATATAATTAATAATTCTCTATTACTGTCAATATTACTCAAATTTTTTCCAATCCTCCCAGCTATCTCCAAAGTTTTTTTGTTTTAAATAGTTGATTTATTCAAATTAAAACCCAAACAAGGTTCACACATTGCATTTGGTTTGTATCACTTTAAGCTTTAAAAGTCTGTAATGTTTCTTTCTCCTTAAAAAGTGTTTATTGTAGTATGATGTGTGTATGTGTGTGTGTGTCTGTGTGTGTGTGTGTGTGTGTATACAGTAAAGTACCCAAATCATAAGTGTGCAACTCATTGATTAGAAAAAAAATACCACAAAATGAAAAGATGGAAATAAAGTGGTTGTAAATGGGGAGGGGAGAAGGGGTGAAGGGAGGGCAGGGACAAGGGGAAAAAATGAGAACCAAGACCTGTCATGTAAAGATACAAGATCCCAATGATGAATGTAACTGTACTGTATCCCTAAAATTTACCAATAAACTCAATTTAAAAAAAGAAAAAAATACCAAACACATAGGTACTCATCTATGTAATTTCCACATAGATAAAAATATAAGATAAACTGTTCCTTTTGTTTATGCTATTTATTTTTTTTGAGTGATGCAGTATTAAGGTGTAAATTGTTCTAACTTTTGTATACATTTTGATTTTTATTTTCATAAGATAATAATATCCAGTAACCACAACTGTTTTCTACTATTTTAAAAATGCTGAGGGCCTGGGGATTTAGCTCAGTGGTTCTGCTGCCTGCCTTACCAGTGCAAGGACCCAAGTTCGATCCCTGGTACTAAAAATAAATAAATTTAAAAAATTAAAATTAAAATGCTGAAATGCTAATGGAAAAGTTGTGTTCCTTCAACATAGCTACTATTTAGGCTAACAGCTGTAGTTAATTAATGTAGGTTAACACCAGACACCATTCTTCGATTTTTGCTCTGATTTTGTCAATTCAGTACTCTAAGACTAAGTTATCAAAATTTTAATTAGCAAACATAGATGCCATTTATTAATAAAAAAAGAAAACATAAATAATTAAATAAGTATCCTTACCTGCAATTTAAATGACTACTTTTATTTAGTCAATAGTTTTTCAATCTCCCCCTGCTTTTGTTAATAGTTTTTATACTTTATTAGCTTAATAGCATGTGTTTGGGTATTTTGCTTACTAACTCTACTCACCCCTAACTTTTAAAATAAATGTAATTTTTTTGTATGTAAAACTTCTGGAAGATGAGATAACTGGCATGAAAAAATAGAATTTACACTCAGAATCTGGTTTAGAGGTAATTCAGGCAAATCCAAATTAGGTTTCAAAAGATGAAGTGAGAAAATAAGTTATTAAAAAAAAAGACACTTAGATACCAAGGAGACTATATATTATGCATTAGTACTTCTAAATAATCTTAATTCCTAATTTGAACTTTTTATATTAGATTTTTTAAATGCATTTTTCAGGTCTTAGTATGATTGTCCTTGCAGCAATTCTGCACCTCTGTATAGGTATTATAGTCATATTTCTCTTAAGAGAGTATTTGTATATTTTGTTGATTTTCCCCTATTTTAAAAAATTAATGGAATATAATAAAGATATTAAAACTAGTGTTAAGAAGACTATCTCATAACTATAATTGAGATGATGGTAGAAATCATCCAATATGATAAAGTCGAATATTGTTAGGTTTACCTGAATATTTTCTTTTACCTGAATGTTTGATGCACACTGTTGACAGCATTTAACTGTGAAAGATGAGAACAAAATTAAAGAAATGAAATTTTGAAAATATCCAAAGTACTAACATTAAAGATATAATTGGAGTGGCAGGGGTTCAGTGGTTCTGCCACCTGCCTGGCAAGTGCAAGGACCTGAGTTCAATCCCTGGTACCAAAAAAAAAAAAAAAAAAAAAAAAAAAAAAAAAAAAAAAAAAAAAAAAAAAAAAAAAAAAAAAGATATAATTAGGGATTCAAATTTTTGCTCTTATGTGAAAATCTATGCTCTACTTTTTTTTGGTACCAGGGATAGAACTCAGGACCTTGGGCTTGAGAGGGAGGTGCTGTGCCACTGAGCTAAAGCCACAGCCCACTATGTTCTACCTTTTTTAAATTTTTATTTTTATTAGTACATGTTGGCAGTACATAATGATTACATTCACCATGAGGAGTTGCTACATGTACATAACCCGTCTTAATTTTTTTCATTCTTGACCTTCTCCCTCTATCTCTTAGTCTCCTTTTGCAAAAGATCTTTCTCCTAGTTTGTTATCTACCTTCTATTTTGCTTTTTAATTTATTTATACTTTGGGTTTCTCATATAAGAGATACTTTGTGATATTTAAATTTCTGTGTCTGATTTATTTCACTTAGTATTCATAACATTATTTTCTACTTTATTTGATTTTTTTCATGTTTTCTATAGAAAGCTATGTATATAGAGACTGTCTTTTGAAATATTTTTAGTAAATACATCTTAAAATTGTTTTTCTCCTATTTGCAAATTTCCAGTTGGCACGACCTTAAAATCATGCTATTTTTAAGTATATATACCATTTTTATTTTTAAAAATTCTACATTCGCTATTTAGGTATAATAAAAGGTTAATTCATTCTTCTAGAATATAAATATCCTATATTCTTTTGAGAATATGGAACTTGGTCCAGGAATTTAGCTCAGTGGTGCCGCCACCTGCCTTGCAAGCCCAAGGTCTTGAGTACAACCCCTGGTACCGAAAAAAAAAAAAAGTTCTTCTAGAATATGGAATTCAATGGACCATAGGCAGAACACTGAGCATTTCTTATGATTCTTCCCACAATTTATATGGCAAGTACATTCCTATTCATCATAGTCCCATTTCTCATCTCTTTTCACACAAGGTTTGTAGATCAGTGTTCCTTCAACCTGTCTCCCTCAGCGATGTTGCCCAGGGTGAAGAAGGATGTTTCTGCTATCCCTTCCACTTGTAGGCTGATGTATGGAATGGTTCCTTTCCCTAGGAGTAAATGCCAACAAAAGTACTGATGATAATAATATTTGGGCATACATAGTTTCACCAACCCAAGAGAAAGGTATCAATGCAGTGTTATAATAATGTTTTGGAGTTACACACAAAGGTGGGAGTGCTTATTTCTCTAGAAGTAGGACAGTTTAGATAAATTTTCAGTAAAGTACACAGAAGAAATTTCACAATAGGATGGTTTAATAGTTCAAGAAATGCCATAAAAATATTATCAGTCAACAAAGAAGAAAAAACCTGATGTACATGAAGGTTTCTCTAGTAAATGGTTATCTAGACTCTTTGCAGAAATTTGAAATTAAAAAGCCAACAAAGAGGGCTAGGGAGGTAGATCAGTGGTAGTGCACGAGGCTAGCATGCACAAGGCCTTGAGTTCAATCCCTAGCCTCACAAGAAAATTAAAAATTGGCAGGTTGAAGGTTAGGAAATGTTACTTTTATCCACGTGAATGTAGAAATAGCTGCCAAAAACCAACAAATGAACATCGTTAGGAGTGATGGATTTACTTCGTAGATGAGAAATGTGTAGGTTTAGCGTATATGTGTGTTGTGTATCTGCTGAATGGCTCAATTTCATGATATTTAAGTATCTGAAAGCTTATCAGTATGCCACTCACCTATGAGAGAAATTGTGAATTTAATTTTAAAAACTGCTGAAAATTTTTTTCCTTCACATTGCTTGATCTATAACAATGATGATCATATAGACCAATACTACACTTTTTAAATAATCAGCATAAGGCCTTGCTAAAAATAAACAAAGCCTAAAAAAGCAAAAAACAAAAAAACAAATCCTGTACCATTTTGTTGGTGGTAGTTTTAAATCCATCACTGGCTCCAAAGACCTTTGAAAGATGGATTTTGTTAATGTTTCAGGTTATTTTATCTTTCAGTTGTTTTTTTGTTTTGTTTTATTTTTGGTAGCAGGGATCAAACTTGGGACCTTGAGCTTGCGAGGCAGGAGGCGGAACCACTGAGCTAAATCCCCAGCCCTTCAGTTATTTCTTCTGCAAAGAAACCAAATATAATTTAAAAGAATCAAACAAGTAAACCATATATTGCTGACATTAATGAGACCTAAATTAAATTGTATGTTGTTATATTGGTTACCTTAAGGGGAAAAAATGAATGGGTTTACAGAGAATATAACTCAATTCAAGTGGCAGATTGGTTTGTGACACAATATACAACTTCTTTACTCTTCAGGAACAGTGTATGATCAAGATAACCATATGATGAATAGTAGATTGAAAGTGACAACATAAGTGATAAACCTAACCTGTTTGTTCAGCACTGCTGTTTCAATTATATAAATGTATAAGCTATGAGAGATAATAGTTTATTTTTAAATGGATTGAAAAATACACTTCTTAAGACTTAAAGTATTTGAGAAAGGCTTGTAACCTTACATGCAAGGTTTATTCGTATATCTACTTCTGACTTGTATTGAAGTCATCTAGGACACAGTGTACTGCAGGTGAAAGTGTGGATGTTTACTATGAATGATCCAGATATTCTGACAGTTTGTTAATTTGTGCTTATTTTTAAATGTTTATAAATCAGAGTAAATCAACCAAGTTTATTTTACTGAATTGTACAATTTCTCTTTCTCAAAGGACACTGTGTGAAACCATAAAGGACTTCGTTGCCAAGGCAGAGAAGGCCTATGACAAAACATTGGAAAATGCAGTTGTAGCAGAAGCTGTGGCTACCAAAGTAAGAGGGACACTTCAGGGCATAAAAATTGTTTACTAGGGATGTTAACATCAGACTGTACTTTAAAGCTACATTGGTTAGATTTTGCTATGCTGAAACATCATCAAGGAAAAAATTACTGATGAATTAGATGTAAGAATTTCAAAAAAATATATTCTCATTTATGGTTATCTTTTAAAATGTAGGAGGGGCTGGGGATTTAGCTTAGTAGTTCTGCCACCTGTCTTGCAAGCACAAGGAGCAGAGTTCTATCCCCAGTACCCAAAAATAAAATAAAATAAAATGTAGGAAAAGTACCTTGCTGAAAACCATAGAACACACCACATTTTATAACTCACATTCCCTTTCCAGTGACTGACATCTTAAAGGAGGTTGCATGCAGTGAGACTGCCAGGGAGAGGGCTGTCTGTGCAGCCAGAATCCCAGGAGGAAGAGAACAGCTTCCCATTTCCAGATGAACTCTGGCCAGCCCAGTTCCCTACCAGCACAAGCCCCTGGGTTCTCCCATCCTTAGTGTTTTGCCAAGTTCTATTTCTTGCACTGCCTTTCTCTTTACAGACTTTTTTCCCCTTTATGAGCTTTCTGATGCTAAAATAAGTTTAGCTTATTGACCTTAAAAGCCACTGTCTTTACTTTCGTAAGTTTATGAGAGGGCCTTCTTAGAAAAGGCATGGATATATTGGGTTTGCAAAAGAAATGACTTCCCAAAATTTGTACCATAGATGGTTTGAATCAAATGAAAAGAAAATGGAAATAAATGTATATTTGAAGTGTTTTTTCTTTTTTCTACTCTGGAGAGTTTCAGAGAACAGGAGCCCTCTGTTGGTCATATTTTTGTTTCTAGACTCTTTTTCCTGTAACTTTTGTCTTGAGATGTGTCATCAAGGATAAATAAAAGGAAGGAAACAGGACTAGAAGTTGTGTGGAAGTTCTGTTCACTTTGCGAATTAGGGCTTCAAAAGCCAGCTTGGTAAGACTAAGCCACACTTGCAGTTTATGATACTCAAAATGGGGCCATATGTCAATTGCCTTTTTAAAAGAAGGTTTAATGCTTTGTATAATATAGCATGTTTTTGTGTACTGTGTCACTTTATAGTAAACTACTCGTTGTGTTCTTTTAAGGAAAAATAGCCATAGAAAGGTTGTAAGGATTTTAATCCATGAAATGAAGTTTGCATGATTCTGGAAGTATAAATCAATAAGTGCATTTAAGAATTGTGCTATTTTGTGTCTTAAAAATTATAAAATATTTACTCCATGGCTATAAAGTATAAATTATATTTGATAAATAATTTATAGTAAACATCATTAGAGGCACCTTCCCTCTAAACCACAAAGCCATTAAATTTATCATGTTCCCATCTCCACTAACTTTTAAAATAAATGCCTCCTAAATCAAAACATTTACAGAATAAGAGGTGATAACTAGTTGCATTTTACTTTTCTCTTTGATGATTAAACTTTCAAAACATGTTACATAAAAACTACTTGTTTTCTGTCTGCCCTTGTGTTTTCTGTTTGAATATCTTGCTTACTCTACCATATTTTTGTTTTCTCAGTGTTCAGTCTTAAATGAGAAGCTTGAACAACTGCTGCAAGCTTTGCACACAGATTTCCAGGCTGCTCCCCCTCTCCCAGGCAATGTGGCTGTAATCCTAGAAGAAGATGTGGAATCTTCAAGTGAAGAATCCCTAGGTGAAAGCAAGGACCAGCTTGCAGAAGACATTACAAAATCTTCTTCCCAGAAAGCCATCAAACCAAGAGAAATAATGTTACGGGCAAACAGTTTAAAGAAAGCAGTGAGGCAAGTCATTGAAGAAGCTGGAAAAGGTACACATTAACAAAATTAGCTTTGGAAGAAGGTGGCAGCCTTCCTGTTGCAAGTGTAATAGAATTTTCGTAATGGTCTGATTGGACACACTGAAAAAAACTTTTAAAGCTCAAGAGAGGAAGATAAATCCACTAAAAGGAAATTTGTACTTAGTCCTACTTATTATTTTAGTAGTAAAGATCAGCATATTAATGACGCATGATATAAAATCTCAGAAATAGAGCTGTCCATGTTGGCACATGCATATAATCCTAGCACTCTGGGAGGCTGAGGCAGGAGAATCACAAGTTTCAGGCTAGCCTTGGCATCTTATAGACTTACTGAGACCCTGTCTCAAAATATATAAAAGGACTGGGGATGCAGCTCAGTGAGGAGGCCCTAGGTTTAATCCTCAGTACCGTCTCCCCCCAAAAATCCACTTTCAGAAATAAATTAAGGTTGGGCCAGGGATTTAACTCAGTGGTTCCACTGCCTGCCTCACAAGCGCAAGGTCCCAAGTTCAATCCCCAGTACCACCAAAAAAGAAAGAAAGAAATTAAGGTTAAATATTTGTATATTTATCTTAAAAAGAAAAGTCATTTAAGCAAAATTTCTAAAGTTTTAAATATATTTTACTAAATTGGAAGCTGTTGAATGTTTAACCTGCACACTACTTTGGAAATACAGAAAATATTTTGTTAACATTAATTTTGTAAATGTTTATCTTTCTTTTTTAAGAATACAAAATTTTGGGCCGGGAATTTAGCTCAGTGGTTCCGCTGCCTGCTTCACAAGCACAAGGACCCAAGTTCCATCTCCAGTACCAAAAAAGAATATACAAAATCTCTGCCCATATTTTAATTTTAATATTAATATAATGTCTACACTTAGAATTTTAATAGCAGACAAATTAATTTTGACAAGACAAGTAAAGTTTATTTT